ATTACCATTTGTATTTCTTCTGGGGATAACTCATCTTCACCTTTGCCATCTCCCCAGGTTCCCAATTCAGGTTGTGTTTCAGCCAAAATCTTTTCTGTTCAAAAAAAATTGAAAATAGAAGACCAAATATTCATTTTAGAATAGGCTGGCTTAGGATGTAATCATAACACAAACATGAGATGGAGCAGAATCTTACAGCTTTGTCCATATATTTCATGATCTCTGGGCTAATATTCAGGAACTGCAGACATGATTCTTTCACAACATTTAGGCTGTAAACTGTCTTTGTGCAGGCACATGCATGTGTGCGTGTGGTGGGGAGGGGACCTACGCACGGTTTCAATATTGCACCAATGTCAGCAATGGCTGCAAACTAAATGGACATTCTTCAGAATGAGTCTTAAAGTATGTTTTACTTCAGGACACATACACGCCTCTCTACTTGTAAAGACTGTAAGACATATTTTTAATGTAAAAAACACGTATGCATATACATGTATATATATACACACACACACACATATATATATATATATATACAGGAAGTGATATACCGTTCCCCAATCCTATTCCTCTCCCAGAAGTTACTGCTTTGATGTAGCATCATAGATTTTATCTAAACATATTCACATCCAAAGATATGAGTCCCTGCCTACCTATGAAATTCAAGTAATACACAGTTTTGTGTGTATGGTTGCTTGCTTTTCACACAGATATCAATGGTAACATACTGTTCTAAAACTTGCTTTGTATGATTTATTGATACATCTTGGAGATCGTCCAAGTAGATCTACCTTGTTCTTTTAAGTTGCTGCATGATATTCCATCGTGAGGATACACTAGTCTTTAGCCATAACTACACTGACAGACCTCAGTGGTTTCAGACTGTTCACTGGGGTAATAATGGTACTGTGTCCCAGTCTGTGCTTTGTACACATGCTGGAGTGACTCTCTAGGACAGACACCTGGGCATGGAACTGCTGAATGGGAGCGTAGGGACATTTTAATCTGGAGAACTTTTTCATTATGATCAACAAAACATGATGCATCCTCCATGAAGCATGTCAATACCACAGGCCCCTAGAAAGGACTGCTGCTGCCCAGGACGACAGTAAGAGGTCTGTGCAGTTCATCAATGGGGTGGGGTTGGGAGCGGAGGGGAGAGGGATGGCAGGGATGGATCCTCGGGGGAGACTTTAATGAAATCACTTTGTGTCTGTGTGTCTCAGTGGTGTCTCTGGGCTTATCAGTGAGCTTCCAAGTACTCAAAGGCAAATACTGCTTCTTTTCCTTTTTTCCTCAATCTCAGTAAATTTCTTGTAGTCGACCTCAGCTCCATGAGATGGTGACAAGTCCAGATCTTTGAATAGGGGAAGAGAACATAATGATAGCAACAGGGTAGAGAAAGCTGACTAGGCAGGCCATGACTGAAAGTTATGGTTATTTATTAGAAATATATCTTTACAAAAAAAGTCTCCATGTCACCCACAACTTAGTGCATGCAGGCTTTTAGAAAAATGGCTGTTTTTACCAGAAGTGTCATTATAGAAAAACATGTTTGTAAAAGGTTGGCTAAAAGTATCTTTAGAAATGATCTGGTATTTTCCTGAGATGACATTCTTTGGGTAGGAACATTTGTACTTTCATCTACCCCCCACCCCCACCTTACGAGCTGTCTCCTACTTGTCCTCATTATGGTATCCATTTCAAGCTTTTACTGTTGTTGATTTCTTTTTTAAGGATAAAAACACCAAAATTAGAAACAGAAACCTTGTTCCTATCTGAACTGAGCATAAATTAACTTTGAGCTAGAATGGGAAAGTTCTCTTAGCAGAACTCACACTCTACAGCATGCTCATTTGTGGCCATCAGAAGCCTTCTTGACAGGCTGCCATAAGGATCAGCTTGAAGCACAGCACCCACCAAGCCAGTCCTCTGCGCAGGCCACCCGTGCACCCTGGTGCCACAGAGGCAAGTCCAGACTCCCTAGTCTGGCATTCAAGGCTCCACCCGCTCTTCCAAGCTTACTCCCACCTCTCCTCCCACTGACGGGCTTCACTGATCCCCAGGGGTCTTCTTTACTGACTACATTCCACCCAAGCTCCAGGCTTTCTGGCCTCTGAGCATTTGCTCATGCTGCTGCCTCTGTCTAGAACTTTCTAAGCTTTCATTTTTTTTTTTTTTTTCAGGTCCAGACTCACTTTTTTTTTGTTTTTTTTTTTGAGATGGAATTCCGCTCTTGTTGCCTAGGCTGGAGTGCAATGGCTTGATCTTGGCTCACCACAACTTCCGCCTCTTGGGCTCAAGTGATTCTCCTGCCTCAGCCTCCCGAGTAGCTGGGATTACAGGCATGTGCCATCACACCCAGCTAATTTTGTATTTTTAGTAGAGATGGGGTTTCTCCATGTTGGTCAGGCTGGTCTTGAATTCCAACCTCAGGTGATCCACCCACCTTGGCCTCCCAAAGTGCTGGGATTACACGTGTGAAACACCGCGCCTGGTCCAGACTCACTTCTTAGTGCCGCCTCCTCTTGAAGTCTCCTGGCCCTCTGCCCTCTCTTGAGGTGCTACTTACTTTCTCCCAGGGGCTAGAGCATTATCTTTCCCATCAACTGTGAGCTCCTTGAGGGCAGGAATCACATCCCTGAAACTTCCTGAGCTCCATTGTGACACCCAAACGAAATACTCATTGGAGCTTTCCAGATTTTGGTTTTCAGATTAGAGATGCTCAACCGGTAAGTATAATGCAAAATATGCAAAAATTTGAAAAAACTCCAAATCCAAAACACTTCTGGTCCCAAGCATCTCAGATAAGAGATACTCAACCTGTAATTTCTGTGACATGTCCAGGACTGTGCCTAGCATCTGGAAGACAAGAGTTAATAAGAACTGCCATGAGACTATGGAGAAGGATGCCACAGGGGACTCCCAGGTCTCTCCTGGCTCCAGCACGCCATCACCCTGTGATTCACGCAAAGAACCCTGTTCTACTCTGTCTCTCAGATATAGCAAACTATGCAGGCATCCGTATGTGGGGGTGCCAGCCAGACACACAGATCGCAGACATCCATGACCACATTGTGTATGTGCCCCCACATTTTCGGACTTCATGGAGACCCTGTATTTCTTCTGCATCTCCTGTGCATCAGGAACTGTTCTAAGCCTTGGGCTGTCTAGTATCTGTGGTGACAGGCAGCACATCAATACAGATTTGCATTTTGTCCTGTTGGTTTGACTGGCTGTGAAAGGCCGCTGAGGTTGCACACTCTACCTGGGCGCAGGCCTGTAAGCTCAGAGCTGACATGCAGGGCACGGCTGCCAGGGAGGCAATGCTGCCTCTCCTGAGGCTGGTACACAGGGCTCCTGAGGCAGACAGATCCTGGCCTCACCCCTCTATAGCAGGCCCTTTCTCCTGCACCCCGCCAGCTCCCAGGTGACTGGGTGAAAGCACCTCCTGCCTCCGTGGCAGTCACGAAGATCAACTGTGACAGACACAAAGGCTGCCACCTCCTCCTTCCTTTGCTTTATGCAAATACAAACACCAAAACATGTCTGAGACTGTGCTACTTCGTTTCTGTGGTGTACTCTTGCCAACATGTCAAAAGGAAGAAATGCAAGGCAAGATATTCATCTCAATTCGTACCTGGATGTTCTTCAGTGGCAGGGTTTTCTTCAGAGTCTTTTGAAGGGCTCTGTGAAACTTTCTCAGAAGATGTGGATTCTCTTGTCTTTGTATTTGGTTCTGGTTCCAGCTTAGATCTAAAAATACATAATTAGCAGTCAGGTATTTTATTTCCATAACAGGATTCCTTTTTGACAACAGAAGAAGTCACATGTGACCCTGCAATTTTGTCCTGTGCCCCCGTACTGGGGAGCAGTCACTGCTTCTGGGCCCAGTGGCTATCTGGACACACCTCCACTGGGGCACTTAACACTGGCATTGTTGCCTGCGGGGTAGAGATTGTGCACGCCCTCTGCATTTGCAGCCATGGCACAGTGACCAGCATGCAGGGGCAGGCTACGGTTGGTATGTGCTGAATATGCTCCATAGACTGACACCACACTCAACAAACCCAGGAAGCTGGATTGATGCTCACCCAGTAATAGACACTAATGCAAAAAGATTGCTGAATATGTTATTAATTATAATATATAATACATATTATACATATATTCATATGTATATATACCCCACACATATATACCCCCAACATATGTATACCCACACATACACACACCACACACATATATATACCACATGTATATACCCACACACATATATATACCCTCCCACATATATACCCACATACACATACATACCACCACACACATACCCACACATGTATACACACAATATATATACCACATATATATACCCCCACACACATATATACCCCCTACATACACACATATCCTCTACAAACTTACATGCATGTATATCCCCCACATATACACACATACCACATACACATATTCATATATACTCACCCACGTACACACACATATATACACACACACATATACACACACCATGTATACACACCCACATACATATACTACATATATATACCCCCACTCACATATATACCCCCTACACACACATACATATCATATATGTACACATATGCATATATACCCCCCACATATACCCTTCCACACACACATACACCTATACACACATATGCATATGCACACACACTGATATATACTCCCACATGTACACACACATATACCCCCACATACACACACACATACAAACACATGCATATATATCCCCTACCCATATATATATACACACACACATACCCCCCAACATATATACTTACACACACACATATATACCTATACCCACACGTGTACATGTTCTAAGTCACATCTTAATATAAGTGAACTCTGAAAGCACAAGTCCTTAAATACCCACTCGAAGGCACAGACTCGCTTCAGGACTGAGTCCTCTGCACTTGGCATTCCCCTGCTTCTTCCCCACAGGCTCTTCCCAGGACATCATCTTCCTTCCCGCCTACAGGGCTTGGCTCAGTTTCACCTACTCAGAGAGGCCACCTCTGACTCTTCTATCAAGGAAAGGCTGCCTCCCACTCCTCTGCACCTGGTTTCTCCATAGCAGTTATCACAGTCTATAATCTGTTTATTTATCTGTTGGTTGTCAGCCTTGCTCCTAGATCCCAGATTCTGGATTAGTGCCTGGTATTCAGTTTCATAAATATATGTTGAATGAATGAATGCATTATAAATACAAGTAAATGATTAATAAGAGAAAAAATTTTGGTTATGAAATAACGGACTTTGTAATAGCTTTGCTAGAATCTACATAAACACTATAAAATTATAGTCAGAGTGCTAAAAAGATCTAGGATAAATTCCGTATTGTTAGGCAGAGAGACTATAATTAAAGGAACAATGTAAATGCATATTAGGGTGATATTACTAATGCCAACTAACATTTGTTAATGGCTTATATAGTGGACATTTTTTCTAAGCAATATATATGGATACATTTATTTAATTTCGAATATCCCCATTAGGTAGGTACTAGTATTAACAACCTTTTAACAAAGGAGGAAACTGAGGTGTAGAGAAGTTAGGAAACTTGCCCAGGTCACAGTAAGCAAATGGCTGGGCTGGGACATGACCTCAGGGAACCTAGCTCTGACGCCCATGTTTATAACAACTGCTCCATGTGGGGTATATTCTACCCATCCTGGGCTGTGGGAAAGGACTTCTGTGGTCAAATCAGTCTGAGAAAGTTGAGTCAAACCTAGACAGGTGTTTCACTATATAAGTTTTCAGAGCCTTTAATATGCTCAAATACATTCTGAATTTCCAAAAAGGATGGCTTTTGCAAATAACCTGATTGCAGAGACTCTCTTCATAGAGTTTTTTGAGAGTAGTTTTCAAAAAAGATGATTTAGGAAATGCTCCTCTACAAAATTTAACAAAAAAATTTTTCAAAAGTAACTGTGTTATCAATCTTTTTAATTGTTCAGGTTACTACAGCTGAGTCATAAAACTTAGTGCCTTGAAACAGTGAGATTTATTACTGGTCAGTGTTTCTGGGGTCAGGAATTTGGGAACACCTTGGTTGGGTGGTTCCGGCTCTGCGTGTCTCAGGAGGGTACAGTTAGAAGGCAACTAGGGCTGCAGTCATCTGAAGGGTTGACCAGGGCTGGAGGGTTCACTTCCAAGGAGGTCACACACATGGCTAGCAAGTTGGTGCTTGCTGGGAGCCTCATTTCTTCTTCATGGAGCTGCATGAGTGGGTTACTGGTGCATGGCAGCTGGCTGCCTGCAGGGCTGGCAGTCTCAAAGACTTTGGTGGAAGCTTCAATGCCTTTCATAACCTTGCCTTAGAAGTCAGAAATCATGATCCTAGCCATATTCTACTGCCCAACGCATTCGCGATGGTCCACTAGGGTTCTAGGGGAAGAAACTCAGACTCCAATTTGCTTTCTCAATGGAGCAGTGATAACATCACTTTTTAAGAAGAGCATGTGGTATGGGATATATTTGGGGGCAGCTTTCTTTGGAAAATACAATCTGCTATTCTAAGTATCAAAATATGCACAAAGATAAAGTTATAAGGATATTCACCACAGCACTGCTTATAACAACAATAACAAAATGACTTAAATGTTCATCATAATGTACCTCATTTACAGTTGGAAGATACAATGAAAGAGACGATTCTACTTGCAATAGCCAAAACAAAACAAAAGATAGAAAACTAACAATATCAACAAAAACTGTAGAATAAACTTAAGCCCAAAGCCCATATGTAAAAAACCAAAAAAGACTTATGAAAGACACAAAGGAAAGAAAGGACACATCATTCTTGATAGAAAAAGAAATATAAAGATGTTAGCTCTCCCTAAGTTAATTTATAAGTGTAATGTGATCTCAATTAAAAAAAAAAAAATCACCAGGTCCCATCCTGAAGCTGAACAAATCAACTATGAAATTCATCTGGAAATAAGCAAGAATGGTCAGAAAAAGTGTAAACAAATATTGAACTCTAGTTAATGATATGCATACTAAAGTATTTAAGGGGAAGGGCACTGTTAGACGTTTACTCTGAAATCTATTTTAAAAAGAGGCTAAATGAATATAGAATGATAGGCAGGTAAAAGCAGCATGTATAGTAAAATGTAAATGCTCAAATCTAGGGTATAGGTATATGGGCGTTCACAGCAAAATTCAATTCTGCCATATGTTTGAAAAGATTTATAATGAAAATATCATGAAGATTAGGAAGGGGAGGGAATAATAGCCAAGAAAACCCTAAAAAACCAAGTGTGGTATTAGGGCATGAAAAGATTGACAGACCAATGAATAGGATATAAAATTCAAAACCAGACTCAATTGCATATGTGTATTTAATATATGATATGGTTTAATAAGTTGCACTGGAATAATTGGTAGTTATATGAAAGAAAAAATCTTTTCCCTTTCCCTACACTGTACACCAAGGTAAATTCCAAATGCATCAGAGATACACACATAAAAAAATGAACCACACATGTGAAAAAAAAAATGGGTGAACCAAGTGTGGTGGCTCACCCCTGTAATGTCAGCACTTTGGGAGGCCGAGGAGGGCGGACCATTTGAGGTCTGAGGCCAGCCTGGCCAATATGGTGAAAGCCTGTCTCTACTAAAAATACAAAAATTAGCCGGGCGTGGTGGCACACACCTGTAGTCCCAGCTACTCAGCAGGCTGAGGTGGGAGAATTGCTTATACCTGGCAGGTGGAGGTTTGCAATGAGCCGAGATCACCCACTGCACTCCAGCCTGGGCGACAGAGGGAGAGTCCATCTCAAAACAAAACAAAACAAAACAAAGCACCGTGAGTGGTGGGGGATGTTGACAGTGGCGAAGGCTATTGGTGGTGAAGGCTATTAGTGTACTGGCAGGTGGGGGGACAGTGAAGGGGGTATATGGGAACTCTTGGTACTTTTTGCTCAATTTTGCTATGAACCTAAAAACTGCTCTTAAAATAACAAGTTTATTTAAAAAAAAAACAAACCCACCATAGGTAAAGTAAAAAGAGAAAAAGACCAACAGCTCTACAGTAAACTAGGCAAGAAAGTTCACACAAATGTAAATGGCTTTTAAACACATGAAAAATGCTCAATCTTCCTCATAAGATGATGCATATCAACAACTACACTGCGTCATTATTTCTTGCCTACTGGGACTGGTGAAAACACCCAAATGTGAAGACAAAATGGGTGGGTCAGGCTGTCAAGCAGGGCACTTCTGTGTATTGATGGTGAGCGTGCCAAACAGTGTGACTCCTATGGAGGGGACCTTGGTAATACCCTGCAAATTAACATGTATTTAATCTCTAATCCAGCAATCCCACTTACGGGACTCTATCCCAAAGATATAATGATAATATGAAAAGGTTATTGATTATAGCAACTTTGTAATTCAATTTTAATATGGCAAAGGCCTAGGAAAAATCCACATGTCCATCAACGTGGAACTGGTGGAAGACACTCTGCAGTACTATGGAGCTGTAAAACAGAATGTATACCTTTATATAGTGCTCTAGAGCAATCAAACAAGATGGGAAAAAGCATGTACAGAAGGGATCTTCCTTATCTGATAAACATGTACAAAATCTACAGTGAGCATCACACTTTATGATAAAAGCCTAAGTGTTTTCCCTAGGATGAGGAACAAGGTAAGAAGGACCTGGTAGATGTGAACAACAGAGGAAGAGAAAACAATTACAAAATCAT